TTAAAAGCATGCTAGTGCTGTTGGAACTGAGAGAGAAGGAGGTAAGTGCATGACGAAGTTGAAGGAGGGAGCAGAGGTAGGACTCTGTGAGGTCTTATAACCAACAGGAAGGCCTTTGTTGAGTAAAACCTTAAGGTAATGTTAAGATGAAAGACTTTCTGAACTGTATTTTAGGGAAATCACTTAAGGGAGTATTCTTTAGAACCTTGCAATCTTTGCAAAGTTTATTTGTGGAAAGATTTAAATTGTACTTACAAAGTGACATTGAGAGACTTTGAAATCAAAATAGATTGCAAAATGGGTGGGAGGGAATGAGAAATGACTCTTAGATTAAATCATTTTTTATCATCATTTGAAAGTAAAACAAAAATATTGGAAAAAGCTCAGGCTTTGAAGGGGGTATGGGCTATCCAGGTTTGGATTTTTGGATTTTATGTGATTGAACCAGTTAAGATGTGTTAAGTTATCATCTGGCAGTGGAGAGAGGTCAGGGTTGGAGGTATCAACCATGAGTCATCTGATTATGGAGCTACTGACACTGTGATGAGGTGGGCTGTATTGGTAGTATATGGCAGTGTATTTGGAACAAAGACGACTTTACACTGTTTCCAGAAAGTAGTATTGATGGCTGTAAAGAGACAGTTGGGTGTGCAAGAGGGTAACATGAGACACTGGAAGAAAATTAAAGGAGTATAGTGTTAAAAGAGTCATGACCACTAAAATATCTGTGTTAATCTGTTCCTGGTGAAACAAGCTGTGGCAAGCTAGGAGACTCATCAACAGAATTCCTTTTTCACAGTTTCAAGATCAAGGTGCAGTTGATTTGGGACCTTGGTGAGGCCATTTTGTGGTTCGTGGTGGCTCCTTCTCCACATGCGACCACAGCATAGGAAGGGTGAAGAAGCTTCTTAGCCTCTCGGTGGCTCCTTTCTATGAGGAAATCAATTGCATTTACAATGAATCCTCTCAGCCATTTAACTCTGTCAAAGCATTGCCCTACTGTCATTTGTCAGTAATCAGATTTTAACAAATGGATTTTGGAAGGATGTAAACATTCAGATGATTTATTTTTTTCAGAAAGCACTTAAAAATGCTTGATGAGTTTAGCAAATGGCAAGTAGAACTCTAAGACTGTGTTGTGAATATTATTGTACCTTCTGATGTTAGATTCTTATAAAAACCACTCCTAAGAACGCAGAGAACTGTGACCTTCCTCTATCCAAGAGACTATGGCAAAGATACTATGGCAAAGATTGGCACTATGTCTCCAGAAAAATATTTTGAATTAATAAAAATAAAATAATATTAATAAAAATTGGGTAGTTCTGGTTTAGTTAAGTGAAAATATTTAAACAGGAGCAAGATTCTGACTGTGAAAGGGAGAATAAGCATCCATATTTAGAGTGTCCAGGCAGCTAAACTGGAAGGCATCTGGAGCCTCAAAGGTGTCCCCAGATGGCAGCCAGCAAAAAGAGGTGGTAGTTGTTCTTCAAATATATAAGAAATAAAGTATGCCAGTAGCTTGAAAGCACTCAAAAATGGATCCTTCCCAAGCTGAGCTTCTGGTAAGACATAGCAGAGAACCTAAGACTGAATGCTTAACTCATAATTGAGAGACAATAAATAAAAATTTTAGCCAGTGGATTTATTATGATTGGTGACATGGAAATAGAAAAGTCTTATAAAAGCATGAAGAGGTCATTGGTGATCTGAATGGAAGCTGACCAAGGCGAGCAACAGGCTGGAAACTGCATCAGGTTTTTTTTAGAGGAGAAGGCATGAAGCAAGCAAATGGGGCTGCTACAGAAGGCTCTTTAAAGAGATTTTTGGAACAGAACATAAACATGTGTTTTTAGCTGATCAGGGATATGGTTTTGAGAACAGATTTTTATTTGACTTTTTTTTAAATGAGGAATAACTTGGGCATGTATAAAAGTCTATTTGTACAAGAATCAACTCATTTTTTTTCTGGCTATTTGCTCAGCCTTGCTAGCTATAGCACAGCTAGATGAAATTAATATTTAATAACCAGCTAAGAGCAGTGTTTGGTGACCTAATGTTGGTCTCAATGTTGAAAACACTATAAAAGATTATAGGTTATCAAAGATAGCTGTGTGAAATGTGCCATTTATCAAAACCTCCCTCCACAAATAGAACCTGTCTTCTGAACAAAACTCCACATTCCTCTTTGTTTTTTGACAGGTAGATAATGCTACTGAGATTTCTGTGGTGCTGTATTTTTGGGGTGGCGGGTTTCGCTGGGAACTGAGCAGAGGATGTGGAACCAAGCCTAGGCGGAACATGTGGAATCAGGAGGACATAACTACACCATGTGTTAGATGCATTGACAGATAAAATGAATTATAATCTAGCAGTTGCAAGGTCAGTTTGAGGCCATCTGTGTGGAGATTCTACTGTATCACACATTATTATTTTTCTATAGAAAGGAGTAACACAAAAATCTCAGTTTTGACAGTACTGATGATTGAAGTTATAATCTCATGGATTTTTGAATATAATGAAATTTGATATAAAGTGTATTCTACTATCCTCAAACAAAAGATTTATTTGACATATGACAGTAACATTAGCAAGTTAAAAGAGACAAAGAGGAAGGAAGGGGAAGAAATCAAAAGGCTGAATAAAACTTTGTGTCCCAGGTTCTATGCAACACGCTTCATATAAATCTTCATCTCACAATAGTCCCGTGAGGGATGAAGGCATGACCCACCACCATCCGCATTTTAGAAGTATATAAACAGAGTCATTCATGAAAGCAACACAGTGTACTGCAGGGGGTTATTGCTAACATGTGTTGTGCTTCAGAATAGACCTTTTCGTGTGCCTTCAATTAAATCACAATGTTTTCTCTGCTACTAAAATATGGTGTCTTTTTATCAGGAGATGATGTTCCCCTATCAGAGCACAAGGAGCAATCCTCATTGCATTTATAAGGGGCAATCTATACTTCTGGGGAAGATTATATGTGTATCTGTATGTATGTGGAAGTGTTTTTGTGAAGATTTACTGCAATTACAGCAATAAAACTCTTAGCTACAAATGAAGTATCTTAATACATATAGTTTATACCAGAAAGAAATAAGCTTTGAATATGAGATGGTACATCTATCATCATTAGTCTTGTGAAGCTGGTGACTTACTCTTGTCTGCCATTAATCACTTGCTTAGCTGATGATTTCATGCTTAACCTTGCACCACAGTCCCTAATATTGCTTTTTAAACTGCAGACCACTACTCTAGTCTTGAGAGATATTTATTAAGCAAGTTTTGGCATAAGCCTTTGACTCTGCTCATCTGGTGAGTTCTCAGATGATTTATCTGCTGCCGACTTAGATGCCACAATTTAAGAACCACTATTTCAGATAGGAGTTCATATCTTTCCTAAATGTTGTGTGATGCCATCGGTTAGAAGCCAGTCTAGGACACCTAGTGAAACTTTATCTCAAAGAACAAAAATAAAATAAATAAATAAAAATTTTCTGATAAAGAACCAGATAAAGGACTCTGGCTTTGTTCTGTGGAACATTTAGCCTGAGTTGTGGCTACTTGAGTATTTCTGTGAAGCTAAAGGTAGCTCTGCAGAGCATCTAATTGCTATGTGATGCCTATGTTTCTATAATGTCTTACTTATGGAAATAGGCATCAGAATGGATACTATAGTAAACTGCAGCTGAGTAACTACTGGCCTCTATAATTCACTCATAGAAATCACTATTTATCCTAAACAGCAATTCTCTGGGAACAATTTACCAATGTATCCACATATCTTACTTCTCTTCTAAGTTTTTAAGTAAAATCTATAGACTTACACCAGAAACGAAGAGGAGTTATTGAATCAGAAGAGGAGAAAGCCCAGCATTTCCTATGAACTCAGTAAAAGAGGTAGTACTTAATAGCAAGGCTCTTCATAAGTGCTTATTGTTGAACAGCGTCTTCACTTTCACATTTAGTTCTTATTGGATATTATTTATACGGCTATAGGACATAATTCAACCCTCTGGTGAATGGCATAGAAGTTGCTGCCAAGAGGTATATACTGACTTCACTATACAGCACACAGTGAGAATGATTCACTGGTTGAGTATGCAGGCAGTGTGTTTGATCTTTAGCCACACTTCAAACTAATTTAAAATGCAAATATAAAGTTAATAATCTACTATGTTATCTATGTCTGTGGAGTTCAGCACAAACTTCACAGTTAAGAAATGTAATTTCTTAAAATTGGACAAAACTTAGATGAATGTCATAATGGAGCACAATTTAGTATGCCAAAAATAACTGTATGCAAATACCACAAGGAAAGTTAGTTTCATGAGTCATCTTACAAACTTCAAATATGAATATCATGTCAAAAGTCTGTTATATGCTATGGGATATAAATATTTAAAGAAAATATCTATAGACAACCACACATTCTAATATGAAATAGTTTGAGATTGGATTAAAGTGTTTTTACAGTGCCATCCATCTTTCAAAATGCTTTACTAAATTCTATTAAATATAAAATTTCAGTTTGACAAATGGGTATACATTTACCCTTAGGCGTTTATTTCTCCAGTTGACACTGTTTTTCAAAAGTGTGGCATTTTAAGAAAGAAAAAATGTTCAAAGAGAACTGTAGTCCAAAGTAAATTGCAAAATGTTGATTTTAAGGACATTTCATAATTGTGTTTACCTTAGGCTCCTCAGAACATTAGTATGTATGCATGTTGTATCTCTAAATCTCGAAAGAGTTAGAGTACTGTGTGGACTTTTATGTTCTCATTTCACACAAAATCTGAATGCCACATGAAGTCTCTAAAGTACCAGAGGAATACTCATGGAAAAATGAGGTTCAAAGTACTTACTTGTATTTGTTGTAATTTAAAAAAATCAGGTCAATTTCATATGTGTTTATTGAATACCTCTCTAATTTCTTGTTTTGTGCCATTTACCAGAAATCTACCTAGAACTTGGTTATTACGGTCAGACATACTTACACTCCTCTTCAGGCCTCTTCCGCAGTGCCGCACGAGCCTCCTTATAGGGACTTCGCTGATATTGTGGGGGATGCCTTCCCCGTATTAGGCTCTCCATCCTGTAAGAGAAAGACCAAGACTATTTTAATACCTGAATCTTGATTGATAATGAAACTATGAAATTCAAGTTTAAATACCAACAGAAACTTTGTAGTCCACACCACTGGGAGTATCTAAGATAAGATAGCAAGGGAGCATGGAGCATGGTAAACTGGAGAGAGCTTTGCTTTTAAAAGGCATTTTGATTGAAAACGTTAAAAAATATCACGTAAAGCTAGAGAAACAGCTCAGTAACGCCGGTGCTTGCCACATAAACACAAGGACTTGAATTTGATCACACAGTCTGTGCTTCAGGTTTTTATCAGTAAAACGATAGTCACTTTCACTACATTACTGGGAGGATTAGACATGTTATCACAGTGAAGTGGTTTGTGATACGTCACAGAGCAACAGGGCAGGTGAAGAAATGTTTATGAATCACGATTTTGGCAAATAGAAAAGAAACTGTGTAGTAACACTATTGTGTTCATTGTGCTAGTGCTAGAAAAAATGTCAAAACTGCCTCTTATCCATTAAAGAAAAGGAACATTTGGCCTTGTGGAGAAAAATACCTGCGGAAATAAATGTTTCAGTCATCATGGAAACAGAAAACATCCACAGCCATTGCAGACATGCAAATTAGACTGCTTTGAGATTCTTCTCTATCCAAGCCAGAAGACCGCAATAGAAAGATAAACTATAGTAAATGCTGAAGAGAATGTGGGGGAAAGGGAGCCTTTATTCACCATTGGTAGAAATGCAGACCAGAGAAGCCACCATGGGCCGGGTGATGGTGGTGCACGCCTTTAATCCCAGCACTCGGGAGGCAGAGGCAGGTGGATCTCTGTGAGTTCGAGACCAGCCTGGTCTACAGAGCTAGTGCCAGGACAGGCTCGAAACCCTGTCTCGAAAAACCAAAAACCAAAAAAAAAAAAAAAAAAAAAAAGAAGCCACCATGGAAATCTGTGTGTGTGTGTGTGTGTGTATGTATGTATATGTGCCCTCATAAAAACTAAACATGGTTCTCCCATATGATACAGCTATACAGCTTTACTATTCCTGGGAATAAACCCACAGGACTCCATATCCCATGGCAGAGAACGTACAGCCATATCATTGCTATTCACAATAGCCAGGAAATAGAGTCAGCCTAGATGAGCATAACTGATGAATGGATCATGAAAATGTGGGTCATATGCTTAATGGAATTTCATTCAGCTGTAAGGAAAAAAAATGAAATTTACAGGATGGAGCAAATTACATCTAGTGAGGTTCAGAAAGGCAAATGCCACATGTTCTTTCTCTGGCTTTTATTTTCTATGCACATGCATCCATGTAGGAATGAGCTTGGGTAGGGATCAGGAAACGAGAAAGGGGCCATGAGAAGAGGGAAAAGGATGGGTCAGGTCTTAGAACATGTGGTAAGAAAGTAGGATTGAGGATGCTGGGGGTCAGTAGGGTACAAGACCATGTATGTATGAAACGAAAAATGAAACATCCATACATAATAACTGTCAGTTTTTAGAGATGAAAATGTTATTATAATATGATGCACTTTAATTAATCAATTCAATTTAAGAGAATACATGGATGTGTTCAACCTAAGAACACTTGGATGAATAAAAATGCCCTGTTATCTACACCATAATATCTGAAGAGCTAAATACCTTATCATTTCTGAGAGAGTTTAGATATTTCACAGTTTAGTACTGTTTTCCAACTTTAGGAAGAATACTAAAGCATCTCTAATGTTTTACCATTCACCCCTTGATGGAGGAAGGTCATTGGCTAATAAAGAAACTGGCTTGGCCCATTTTATTGGTTAGAACATAGGTGGGTGGAGTAAACAGAAGAGAATGCTGGGAGGAAGAGGTGTTTCATGTAAGGCACAGAGAAGTCTCCCAAAAGAGCATTTTTAATTGAGTAAGTGAAGGTCTGAAGATTCTCAGTGACCTACGCATAGCACACAGGATATAGAAGGTGTAACTGGGCCTTTCTGTCCCTGCTTCTGATTTTTACTTCATTATCCCCATGATTGTATGGAAATTATATGAATACTATTCTTCTGAGTAAGATATCTTTAATTGATGTAAAATCCTACATAAACATAAAATTAATACTAGATGTCTACATATATATGAATGTTATATGTACAGGCTACTCAGTGCATCAAACAACACTACATAAATGTATGTGTATTTGATTGCTAATATGTTGATTCCAGGTTGTGATTTGATTGCTGTCCTGGTGCTACTTAAATGTCTGCTTCATTCAGTTATATTTCTTTCAAGAACTGCTGACGATTTAACCAGAGCCAGAGAAACTTTCAATAAATTATGTACATCACATGGCCATGGAAGCAAACATTGAAGACATTAAAATTCTCTTTATTTGTTAGAATTGTAAATGTTGTACCCACTGGGAGACACACATTCCTGTACACAGTGTTATATAACTGACACTCCAGTCATCTGAGGACCACGCTGCTGTCTATGCAAACTCTTCAACCTGTGAAATTTATGATGCACAGCATGCATTAGATGGCCAAAGTTTCCAAGGATGAAACCTTGAAGTTTCTCCAGGACTCTGCAAAGCAGCTGTACCATCTATTCTCCAGCTTGGCATGCCCCCAGTGGATTGTGTTAATAGTTTCAGCAATGAGTGATAAAGTGTGAGAACTGCAGGTGAGGCAGAATATTGGTCTCATTAAGTAGCTATAGGAAGTATGCCCGAGATTTATGTTGCAGCCATGTAAATATCAAACAGCATGAATGAATATTTAAAATTTGTAAGCAAAAGACATCTACAAACTGTTTGGTGTCTCCCCAAAGCCTGTTTAGTGTCTTCCCATCTCAACCATCTGAGAAAGTTTAAACAACCCTTCACCCTATTCCAAAACTAAAGATGCTTACTGACGATGCAGTAGTCAGTGAAGTCAAGTTCTGAATCTGTTCAGATACTGTTCAGTGTTTGAGAACTCCTAGAAACATCAATTACATGTTTGAAAATTCAAGGGAGGAGAGTTCAATGGATTCACTTAGTTATAAAGTCATTGACCAATAGAGAGGTGGATTAAGGGCAAAGGATAATACAGCATATAGGAAGGATGCTGTAAGAGTAAGGAATGACCAAAGAGATAGTGAAAAGTTTTGCTCCATTTTCTGGTGGTCTATCAGCAGAGCCACTGATCAATTTGAAAGACTGGTGATTGCCACAGTAAAATGATTTTTTACCACAGACTTGTCTATAATACTTACATCGATATCAAATTGTGGCCTGGAATGAGAGTGTAGCTAAGAATAAAATCTGGTTGAAGTAGATTTATATTGGATGAGAGAGTAAGAGAGAGACTGACTGGATCAGGATGGTCATGGAAGTTGGGGAAATAATAAGTTTTCAAGCATAAGCGTCCTCAGTGTTTATTGTAGGTAGGTTGTGTTAGGCCTATATATATTAATTTCCTTCCATGATCATTTCATTCCGACTAGTCTACCTCTCAGAGATGTCAAGTGATTTGCTTAGGGTCATACAGAGAAAATTTTGCTATTTAGATCTAGATCTGTCTCCCTTTGATGTGGGCTTTGTTACACAACTTTCTGAGAGGATGGGAGTGTAGAGCAGCTCTGGTTTCCACTTGCTGGATATGCACAGCTACTGTGGACTTTAAACTGGCTAATGTCACAGAGAAACTAAACTTTGGATTTAATATTTTTATTGAGTCTTAGTTTATTCCAATGGAAGTTTCAGTAACCACATATGACTACAGTTTTGCACACAGCATGTCTGGAAGTATCTAATATTCACAAAACCAGAGAAAATAGACAATTCAGTTTTTTAAAAATTTATATAATAACACACCATGACCTAAAGCAACTTGGGGAAGAAAGGCTTTATTTCAGCTTACAGGTCCACATCATGGGATATCTTCGAAGGTAGCAGGGCAGGAGCTCAAAGCAAGAATCTTGAGGAAGGTTTTGAAGCATAAACTATAAAAGAATACTGCTTACTGGCTTGCTATTCATGACTTGGTCAGCCTGTTTTTCCATTTCACCTCAGACCACCAGCCCACAGGTGGCACAACCCACAAAGGCCTATGCCCTCTCATATCAACTATCAACCAAGAAAATGCTTCCCTCACTTACTCAGAGATCAATCTGATGGGGTACATTCTATTAATTGAGGTTTCCTCTTCCAAAATGAGTCTAGCTTGTGTCAAGTTGATATAAAACTAGCCAGTCCAATATATCTTATGTTTCTATGAATTAACACTTTGATAGAAGCAATTCCTAGTAAATAAATAAATTACAAAATAGAACTAAAAATGAAAAGACAGTATCATTATGCTGATAATAGGAGGATGGTTACATATAGTTAGAAATAATAGTGGAGATTTATATTCTTAGAGAAAAAAGGAAAATATAAAGTCAAAAAGGACAGTGGTAACATACTATGAACATTAACTTTTACAAATCCCTTAAACTTCTCTAGTCTTCCAAGTCTCTTTACTTAGATTTGAATTCAAAAAAGACATATAATTATGTCTGTGACTCTTGTGAAAATCCTAGTTTGGGATTTAGGATAAAGTCCTGAAAGAGTGTGTGAAAAAACTTGGCATAATTTCCAGAATAATCTCTACTATCAGTAACACAGAAGTGCTAGTGAGAAGTTGTGTTAGTGTGATTCAAGGTCAGTAATCAGTATCATGCAAACATGGGTGAACACACATACTGCAATGACCCAGTTTGAGGTTTATAATCAGCCATGGGTCTTTTATTTAGGTTTCTTTTTGGAATTAACATGTCCTTTATCATAAAATGGTGGTTTGGGGGCTGGATCTGAAACATTGCTATTGAACTCACATGTTGAAAGTTTGGTACCCGTTGCTGTATTGTTTAAATGTGGTGCCTGCAGAGGGTGGTTATTGAATTGGGAGAACATTTACTTCATTGACAGCCTCATATCCTAAGAGATCTGTATTTTGCTGGCATCATTGGCAAGTGGAGAAAATGGTAAGAAATA